ATATATATATATATATATATATATATATATATATATATATATATATATATATATATAAAATACAGAATCCAGCGCACTCGCTTATTCACTAAACAATGCTTTCAAAATTTTAGAGATTGTAATAGTTTTATTTAAAAACACCTCACCTAGGCAAAAAATAATGGGGGTTTAGTTACATTATATGATCATATATTGCATAAGCCTGCCACAACGTCAATGTACCCCATTCTTGGCAAGTCCTACTCTAGCAGCCTAATGCTTGCCCTTATGAGATTGATCCACTTACTTGGGAAATACTTCCTTACTGGGACTCTCTGCAAGTCAAGGCTAAATAGGATCCTGGAATGAGGCACCTGTGACAGGGAGGGGTGCAAAACCAAGGAGCTGACCTAGACTCCCAAATATACAAACAAAACCAAGAGGGCTGCACTCACCTAAACATGTATACATTATAGGGTGCTGCTGGGGCCAAAACATACAAAATGCCTAGAATGGGGTACATTGACGTTGTGGCAGGCTTATGCAATATATGATCATATAATGTAACTAAACCCCCATTATTTTTTGCCTAGGTGAGGTGTTTTTAAATAAAACTATTACAATCTCTAAAATTTTGAAAGCATTGTTTAGTGAATAAGCGAGTGCGCTGGATTCTGTATTTTGTATGTTTTGGCCCCAGCAGCACCCTATAATGTATACATGTTTAGGTGAGTGCAGCCCTCTTGGTTTTGTTTATATATATATATATATATATATACACATACATATATATATATATATATATATATATATATACACATACATATATATATATATATATATATATACACACATACATATATATGAAACAATACAGAGGAAGAGTCTGCGCTAGTTCAATTGAGCAGCAACCCAAAAAGGGAGATCCCTCACGGAACCCTTATGTAGGAAATGCGAAAAAAAGAGGGGGTCAAGGGCTGCGCTTAGGTAAAACAGATATGTTGAAATATATAAGATCGTGTATATGTAAAATAAACAGCGGTAATAAAATCAAATAAAGTTCATCCGGATTTTCTTAAAAATATAGAATAAAAACAGTCTCACTGATATGTAGTACCACGATATTAATCCTCAAGTATGGCTCCGTCCGTGTGGTAGCTAGTCCATATATGTGAAGATAAAAAACAAGAAAGAAAGCTGCCTATGGTGAAATATTGTTGGTCCTGATGTGGTATATAATCAAAGGAAATATGTTTCACTCACATTTGGTGGAGCTTATTGCCAGCTCTGGGAGAAGAGGCACTTAGTGGTTTGATCCCCACTAACGGATATACTTAGATGGTCCGTTTAAAAGGTAACCAAAAATAACTTTTATTGATTAAAATACACTTAGTAAAACCATTTACGCGTTTCACCTTTGGGGTTTTCTCAAAATGGTAAAAGACATTACCATTTTGAGAAAACCCCAAAGGTGAAACGCGTAAATGGTTTTAATAAGTGTATTTTAATCAATAAAAGTTATTTTTGGTTACCTTTTAAAACTAGGACCATTTGCATACTTATTTGTATTTTATACACTTTCTTTTTACCCCTGGCATTTTATATATTTTTTGTATTTAACACTATAGTTTTATCCACCTTTTTTTATTATTTTTTATTATTTTTATTATTCAATTTTTTACCTGGAAGCATATTCCGTCCAAAGAAATCCTTAGGTGGGGATAATTCCACCAGCGCTGTGGCAATAGAGCAGTATCCATCTGCTCCATTCTTGTAAGTATTATTCATTTATAGATATCACTTTGTTGTTCATACTGAGAGCACTATTTTGCTGTCTCATATATACTCCGTGGACACCTACCACCCGATACTGAAAAGGCGGACCTATCTTCTAAGCATCAAGAAAACAACGTATATGTGAAGTAGATCCTAGCCGACACCACAGGAATCCCAAGCCGGACAGACGGACCATCTAAGTATATCCGTTAGTGGGGATCAAACCACTAAGTGACTCTTCTCCCAGAGCTGTCAATAAGCTCCACCAAATGTGAGTGAAACATATTTCCTTTGATTATATACCACATCAGGACCAACAATATTTCACCATAGGCAGCTTTCTTTCTTGTTTTTTATCTTCACATATATGGACTACCTACCACACGGACGGAGCCATACTTGAGGATTAATATCGTGGTACTACATATCAGTGAGACTGTTTTTATTCTATATTTTTCAGAAAATCCGGATGAACTTTATTTGATTTTATTACCGCTGTCTATTTTACATATACACGATCTTATATATTTCAACATATCTGTTTTACCTAAGCGCAGCCCTTGACCCCCTCTTTTTTTCACATACATATATATATATATATATATATATATATATATATATATATATATACACATACATATATATATATATATATATACACACACATACATATATATATATATATACACACACATACATATATATATATATATACACACACACACACACACACATATAAATATGCAATTACCAGTGAACTATAAAGTGCTGAAAAAAGTGCAATCAATAATTTAAAGTACACTTGGTGTAATTCGGTAGCGTATATAGTAGTAAAATGAGTGAATCAAATAAACTCACAAAGAGAGAGCAGTAAAAGTCTGCTGTAAGTTTAATGGCTTGGATCCTTAAAGCACCACTATAGTGCCAGGAAAACACTCTTTTTCCTGGCACTATAGTGCCCTGAGGGTGCCCCTACCCTCAGGGTCCCCTTTCCGCCGGGCTGGAGCTCTTTCTCCAGTGCCGGGTGGGGAGCTCTCCTCCTTTTTGGCTGAATGCTCATGCGCGGCAGGAGCCATGCGCGCAGCCAGTCCTTAGGAAAGCATTCACAATGCTTTCCTATGGACACTGGCATCTTCTCTCTGTGATTTTCACAGTGAGAAACGCATAGGCCCTCTAGCGGCTGTCAATGACCCAGCCACTAGAGGCTGGATTAACCCTAACATAAACATAGCAGTTTCTTTGCTGTGTGAAACTATGCTTATAGAAAAAAAAAAAAGGGTTAACTCTAGATGGACCAGGCACCCAGACCACCTCATTAAGCTTAAGTGGTCTGGGTGCCTATAGTGGTCCTTTAAATCAGTACTGTAGTATCGCAGGTAGCCAGGTTGGCAACTGGATACAAAGACATTCTTTATTTCCACAAAATAAAAGATCACATATCAGTGATACAGCTCTTTTCCCTGATGAAGTCCATACCCATTGGCTTCTTAGTCTTTCTAACTCGTGGCTAGCACTTGCGGTTTTCAGGCTTTCGGTGGAGAGTTCTTCCAGGGTCCTGAGCATTGTACAACCACGTGGTGACGTACTACCAAAACGTGATGGCGCGTTTTGCCTGGGCGGCTTCTTCAGATCACGTCATAATTCAGCCGTCCTGCTTTATTTAAAGGACCACTCTAGGCACCCAGACCACTTCAGCTTAATTAAGTAGTCTAGGGTTAACCCATTTTTTTATAAACATAGCAGTTTCAGAGAAACTGCTATGTTTATCAATGGGTTAAGCCTGCCTCCAAATCCTCTAGTGGCTGTCTCATTGACAGCCGCTAGAGGCGCTTGCATGCTTCTCACTGTGAAAATCACAGTGAGAGCATGCAAGCGTCCATAGGAAAGCATTATGAATGCTTTCCTATGCGACCGGCTGAATGCGCGCGCAGCTCTTGCCGCGCGTGCGCATTCAGCCGACGGGGCGGCGAGGAGGAGAAGAGGAGGCAGAGAGCGCCCCGCCCAGCGCTGGAAAAAGGTAAGTTTTTACCCCTTTCCCCCTTCCAGAGCCGGGCGGGAGGGGGACCCTGAGGGTGGGGGCTATGGTAGGCGTGATACATTAAAAGTGACTTATTGATTGGTCCTTCCAGGAAACCATAAACTTGAGTAACTACATATCATTATGCAAATGTTTAGAATCCACAAGTCTTTTGTATATCACCCAAACACTGTTTTTTGGCAAAACCACAAAACAATGATCTATCCCAGAGAATACATAGTACAAAATGAAGAGAAACCCAGACAGTAAATAAAAGAAAGACAAAGTTATTTGAGACGTTAGAACCCAAGGGACTTAACATAGAGTTTGATTTTGCATAATTATTTATAAAATATTTTTATATTTTTTATACAATTTTAAAAATAAAAACTTATATACAGTTGTGAACAAAATATATAAACAAGAGAATGCAATAACAATTGTATAAATACAGTAATTGCATTAAACTAAAATTGAAGTAAAAGCTGCTTCAACACCAACAGAATCTCCCAGATTCTGACAAAGGAAAAATATAGGCAAATATACCCCAGAATAATGATTAGGTAAAAATACAATATACAAATATATATATAAATTTTGTTTAAAAAGTCCTGGTATAAGGTGTCAGGGGAGGAATGATATAAGCTGTAATTCTCAATTTGCTTCTGTATCCAGCTCCTAATATGTTCTGTGTGTAATATTGTATCCACCTTAAAAACATTATGGACGGGGGCGTGGCTTAGCGCTCGAGCTGCACGGTCGCATGCCGGAGTAGCTCCCGCCGCTCAGGACACAAGGGGCACCAAAATAACCGGGCTACCGAGCACCAGCAATAGCAAGACGGCAGACTAACACCCACCATGTCCCAGAGACAAAAAACTAAGCCAACGAGGGCGGACAAAGCGTCCTTTTTCCAGATGAAAGCCACACCGCAAAAAGCGCGGGAAGGCGCCGAACAAGATGGTGGCCCGCCGCGATCGCGGGAGGGCTCTCCTACATCCCCAGCCTCCCCAGCAACAAATACTGAGGACCAGCCACTCACAGTGGCAACTATGAGAGGTATGATGGCAGAGCTCACAAATACAGTACAGAGAAGCCTTAAGGCTCAAATGCTGACACTGACAACCAAACTCAGGAAAGACCTGCAGGACATAGGGACCCGCACTGCGCATCTAGAATCTAAGATGGACGAATTTTCCATGGCACATAACAGTGTGGCTGATAAAATGCAAGAACTGGAAGACATCATTACAGCTCAAAAACTCAAGCTAGCAGACCTGGAAGATAGGTCTAGGAGGAACAACCTCCGATTTAGGGGGATACCAGAATCAGTAACAAATGCTGACCTAGACAAGTACTTGCAAGACATGTTCCAACAGATGACCCCCGAACTGCACCCGGATCAACTTCTGCTGGACAGAGCACATCGCCTCAGGAGACCTAGCCATCTACCCAACACAGCAGCGAGAGACGTCATAGCAAGAGTACACTTCTTCCATGCTAAAGAAAGAATTATCAAGGCAAGCAGAAATAGAGGGATGCCAGAGAAATTCTCCAACATCAAAATCTTCTCCGACCTCTCGGCAGAGACCTTACAATACCGCAAATCTGTGGCACAAATTACGCTATCACTGCGCAACCAAGGAGTAAATTACAGGTGGGGATATCCAGCCAAGCTGCTAATCTACCACGAAGACTCCCTCCACTCCATCACATCAGCGACGCAAGGCATAAAGCTGCTCAGAGACTGGGGAATCCCGCTGGCAGAGCTACAAAAAACGGGCCTAACGAGAATTCCCCACCTGGCCCAAGATTGGGCATCCCGCTAAAGAGACTACACGACCGTGTGGTATACGTAAGACTCATAACCAATTGTCAGTTATCTTGTTGTATTTATTACTCTGTTAATCCGTATTTTCTTAACTTAATGTTACACCTGGGAAGCACGTGGGTAAATGCCGGGGCCCCCCCGACCTCCTCCCAGGCCGACTAGCCAGGTACACAACGAGATATATTCTCGGTTAGACCACGACACTGCCCAAACACCAAAGGTTGGGGAGTCGGGACACCGGAGGCCCACAGGCAGGGAGGTTGAAGGAAAGAAAAAAAAAAAAAGCGCAAAGCAGGCTAATCACACCAGCATACATGGTGCCCCAACGTGTGCTTGTCACAGGGACGCACTCCTCAACGGAAGTCCCAACTCCACCACCCCCCCAAACCGCGTGCGACCCTTGGACGCCGCAAAAAGGCTCGACCCAGAGGAGCCTCACAGGGTTAAGCCCTTTGTTCGCCCCTCCCTCACACATATGGAAAAGTCGCAAGGACAACAGTTAAAGGTTGACCTTACCCCGTCCCCTTCTTGCCTCCTCGCCTGTTGTATTAGCAAGTTAGTATTCACTGAGTTCTATCCTCCTGCATTCTACGAACGGTTTATCTAGTAGGAGGGACTCGTTTAGCCTCCACGTGCTATCACTTTTGCAACAGACATCCACACCGAACTGCCACACAAAGGCATCCACCGAAATATTGTGTGTAAGGTATAGAGCGTAATTCTACTAACACAGGTACCATCACTAGTGTCACCAAACAACCACATCAATATGAGAATAGTGTCTTATAATGTTAAAGGATTAAACTCCCCGGGAAAACGCAGATTGCTTTTACAAGACCTTAAGAAAAACTCGGTAGATATCACATGCCTCCAAGAAACGCACTTTAGACACCCCATAGCCCCATCTCTTTTCACAAAACTATACCCCATACAGTATAATGCCCTATCGGAGACGAAGACAAAAGGGGTTGCCATCCTAGTGCATAAAGACATCGCCTTCACACTACAAAGCAGTTACATAGATCCTAAAGGGAGATACATCATAGTGGTAGGGCTCTTCAATAATACACAATACACCATTGGCGCAGCATACTTCCCGAATGACAATCAAGCCTCTTTTCTCAAAGCACTTCTGTCCAAACTAGATTCATATAAACAAGGAGGGCTCATTCTGGGAGGAGACTAACTTCATCCAGTCCCCGACCTTAGATACTACTGCTTCGCCACAGGGAAAGCGCAAAAAGGGGACCCAAGCCCTCTGCAAAACTCTCGCCAACACCTTGACCATGTACAACTTATATGATAGCTGGCGAACACAGCACCCTACAGACCGGGATTACACTTTCTACTCAAGGGTCCACAACACATACACACGTATAGACACATTCTTTATAGATAACAAGACCCTGCCACAATTGACAGACTGTAGAATAGGAGAGATAACGTGGTCAGATCACAGCCCAATCTATCTTGACGTGGAAGATACATATCAATCCCGAGGCAGGAGCACATGGAGGCTAAACGAGTCCCTCCTACTAGATAAACCGTTCGTAGAATGCATGAAGATAGAACTCAGTGAATACTTCCTTGCTAATACAACAGGCGAGGTCACAGACTACACAGTGTGGTCCGCACACAAAGCGGTGATGAGGGGCCAGTTCATCAGGCAATCAGCGTACATAAAGAGACACCACCAGACCACCCTACTAGAATGCCACAAGCAAATAGCGATAAACACAGCCCAAAACAAGAAAACACCCACGGCAGCCCTAGCAGACAAATTAAGAGGTCTGTATCAGGACCTAAATGAGCTCAACGCCCAAAAGACCCAATAGTTCCTACATAGACTAAGAGCCACCACATACCACCATAGCGGCAAGGCATCTAAATACTTGGCCAATAGACTAAGAACTAAGCAGGCCGCCAATAGAATCCCACACCTCATAGGACACACAGGAGACAAACTCATGAACCCCATGGACATAGTGCAGGAATTTGCACACTTTTACAAACAGCTATATAATCTAGACTCAAGCGGTGGCGCAACAGCACCAGACACACAATCTATTCGCAGTTATTTACAGGGTGTGGAACCCCCCAAATTAGACCAAAATTCAGTGAGCGCCCTACTCGAACCGATCTCCATACAGGAGATCCGGACGGTAATTAAGAGTCTGCCCTCGGGCAAATCCCCGGGCGCAGATGGTTTCTCAAACAGCTATTACAAGACATTCCCTCCCCCCTGAAATGCTGGTAGCCACAATAGTAACGCTCCCGAAACCAGACAAGCCTACGGACAGCTGCAAAAATTTTAGACCTATCTCCCTCCTTAATACAGACGCGAAGATATACGCTAAGATATTGGCCAACAGACTGGCACCCATCCTCCCAACTATCATAGGAGACGACCAAACAGGATTCATCAAGAGCAGGCAGGGTAGGGACAATACTAGAAAACTTTCCTTGGTGCTGGAAAAACTGAGGGGATCGGGACAGGGTGGGTTTTTACTAGCCCTCGACGCCGAAAAGGCGTTTGACAGATTGAATTGGTCATTTCTTGAGCACACACTTCAAAAATACGACATTCCCACCGAATTTATTAAACAAATATTTGCCCTGTACACGGGCCCCACGGCCCGAGTGCTACAAGCCGGCTTCCTCTCAGACCCGTTCCCCCTGACAAACGGTACGAGGCAGGGATGCCCTTTATCGACGCTTTTATACGTCCTGGCCCTAGAACCACTACTAGTCCAAATTAGGAATCAAGAGGGTATTAAAGGAATAGAGCTACACAGCAGGGAAATTAAAATTAGTGCATTTGCAGATGACATACTCCTCTGTGTCACCGAACCTGAACAGTCTACCACACTCATTTTAGATCTCATCAGGGAATATGACAAGAGGTCATACTACGCTCTCAATGCCAGCAAGACACAAGCGTTGGGAGTGCGGCTTAACCAACAAACCCTGACTGCCCTCAAAGAGAAACACCATTTTGAGTGGAGAACAGATACAATAAAGTATCTAGGACTGACCTTTACGAAAAACCCTACAGAGACCTTCTCGGCCAATTACGTTAAGGTGGGGGGAGAATGTCGTCAATTGATGAAGAAATGGGGCACAATGTTTCTGACCTGGACAATGAGAGTAGCAACCATCAAAATGTCCATACTTCCTAGGCTCCAATACTTATTTCGCAACCTACCGATTCAGGTACCCGCATCCTACCTCCGAGAAACTCAAAGAGACATGAATAGATTTGTGTGTGGGGGTCAAAAGGCCCGGGTAAAGGGAACACTGCTACGAGCACCAGCGAGACAGGGTGGCCTAGCCTTACCAGACATTAAGTCATACTACCAAGCAGCAATGCTGGCAGCACTTCTTCCCCATTTCACAAACACAACTACACCTCAGTGGGTGCAATTAGAAAAACTAGCGATCAAGCCCTTTGACGTACCCACCCTACTGTGGCTTCCAAATCGGTTTAGACCAGAAGTGCCACAGATGCCAGCACAGATAAAAACAGCAATAACCACTTGGGACAAAATCCGACACAAACTAACATCTCACACTCTATCACCGGCCACCCCGCTCCACACTATAACGTATTGTATGCCAACCTTCAATGCAAAGCCCTGGATAACAAAGGGGGTCACACACCTGTACCAAATGCTCACACAGAACAAACTAAAAACTTTCCCAGACCTACAGGACGAATATCGTGTACCGGTGGCCTCTCAGTTCTCCCATATGCAACTAGGCTCGTTTCTGCGCAAACACACAGACAAATCCCCCACTTCAGAAGACAGTCTATCTGTTATGACAAAATGGGAACAGATGACCACCACAGGTTCATGGGCACCAACGTTTAAGCCATTGTCCTGGTGCTATCAGCTTCTCAGACCCACACAACACTTTGCAGACTCCAACCCAGCCAAACAATGGACACAGGACCTACAATGCCACATAAGAAAGAACTATGGGAACGCGCTATAGTAGCAACCAAAAAACTAATCAAATCAGAAACCCTCCTGGAACAATATAGGAAAACTCTATACAGGTGGTACATGGTACCTACTTGCTTACAGAAGCTATACCCAGGCTCGTCTCCGATGTGCTGGAGATGTGGCAAGAGTGAGGGAACAGTACTCCACATCTGGTGGCAATGCGATCAGGTGACCGGCTTCTGGCAAGACATTGGCCGCCTGCTCCGAAGCACCACAAAAGTCAAGCTCCCTTACACACCCCTAGCGTACCTATTACTACATATGCCAGACAACACACCTAATGAGGTACAAAAACTAACATTCCACATCCTCTTGACAGCCCAGAGGGCGATAGCTAGACTATGGAAAAAGCGTAGACCCCCACAAGTGACAGAGGTTTGCAGGGACGTTGACATACAACAACTATATGAATCCCGCTATAGAGGGGTTCTCCCCCTGACAGAAATGGCCATAAAAGCATGGAGACTGTGGGACGCAGGAACTACGGGAGATCCCGACAACCAAGCTACTAGACAGGACAAGGTCCTAGGGGCCAACCACTAGAGGGGTAAGGAAACACGACTGAGACAGAACCGACAGAATAGGCAAAATTGAGAGTTGTAGAAAGAAAAAATGTGTGCTGATATATGGTATGATGCAATCAATGTTTTCTAGCAAAGGTGACTGTACACCTCAATGTAAAATGTCTGATATGGAACCCCCCATCACCCCCCCCCCCCGCTTCTATTCTGTAACCCCCCTACCAGTTTCATGCTTTATGTTTGATATTTATGTTTATGACATTGAATGACAAAATCAATAAAAGATTTTAAATGGAAAAAAACAATATGGACATGGAAACATAGCGTGATACAGTTAGTTTATTCAACCCCTCCCAAATCCCCTATATGAAAACTCTTACAAGAAAGTATGGTGGTGCTAGTCTCCAAGTACCACTAAAACAGCAAAAAAAGCACAGGGTGATATGCAGGAAACAGTTCACGGTTACCGCTTGGTGAAATCACTGCTCCGATCTGCTCAGTGCACTTAAGCCAGGTAGGATAACTTGTAACTCTCAAGAACACCAAAAGCTGCTCCTGCTAAGATGAAGTCCATACTCCTCGAGATAACAGTCTAAAATGCCGCAAGAACCATCAACGCGTTTCGCCCCCATAATTGAGGCTCTCTCAAGATAGATCGGCCGCGGCCGATCTCAGGCATTTTATATCTCATGCCCTGTTTGGTCTAGCCGTGATCCTTAAAGGACAGGTTAAAAGTCTGAATGTTTCGCAATGTAGCTCACATCATGAATAGAAGTACTGAAATGGCAAAATATACATACTGTTCAACAACATTACCAATTCTCTCAATTTCACACACACATATAAAAAAGTACTAAAGAAAATATAACCACTAAAACTAATTTTTTAACCTACTAAAAATGGAGTAGATTGAATTTAGTCCCCTAGACGTATATGTCTTACTTATTATATCAGTGACACTTAGTTGACATACTTTTTATGAGACAACCTTATGAATCCTTCACACAAATCATTTCATGTATTTCTAGAAAAATGAATGGTATCTCTGAGATCTAAGTGCCAGGATTTAGACATCTACCAGTGACATGTATTCGTAGAAATATAAAAACAAAAAATATAGAGTTGTGAAAACACAAATCTTGCTTATCGTGCTACCAGTAATTTCAGTGTGAGTGTCCTCTTTCATTAAACTAATCACACATTGCTTCATTACGCAATGTATGTCTTATGTTTATGCGTGCCCTTAAACTATCCCCATCATTAAAACATATATAGGTGTCATTAAATTATCCCTATCATTAAAACATATTTCCCATAATAAAAGGGAATACAAAGATTGCAAAAGATCTCTTTCCTGGTTTAAGGGAATATCTATTTTTCCTCTTTCACCCTTTGCAGACTTCTACAGAAGTCTACAAACTGAAAATCCCTAAAATACAATACAATACTATACAAGAAAGAAGCATATTGGGATATACTTAAAGGAACATACATAAAAAAAAAAAAAAAAAGATTTAAAGAAAAGGGCAATTAAAAGAAAAAACAGGACAACACAGCATACATTTAGTAATCTGAAATATTGTTTTTAAACATTCATGTCGCTACAAATTCAAAGTGTATGTTTAACAGATACTATGAAGTATATACGATATTTTAACTCTTATATAGGTAAAGTAGGTAAAAAAATGACTAAAATAGTCCTGGGCATAAGCAATAATCAATACATGTTTATCCTTGCCTTGTCTCTAGCACTGGGGGCTGCTCCTATCAATCTCAGCCCATCTGAAGCGGATACCCATTTAGCCACAAATAAGACACTGCCTCTCCATGAGGGCAGTGTCAGTTCATTGACTCTGGTTCCTGTGTTTGTGTTAGTGATCTCCAGTCAGCTCCTTGGCTTATTCTTATCGTGTGTCCTGACTTCTAGCACCCTCTGACTTTTGGCTTATTCTCGATGATTCTCCTGCTGGTGTCCTTCCCTGTACTGCAACGTGGAGCAATATCCTGCACAGCCCCCTGTGCACAGACTCACAGGCCAGGTGGTTCCTTATCTGGTCACCTCGGTCTGTGTTTATTTGCAAGGGTGAGCGTATATCTCTGTATACTGGACTCCCAACTAAGGTAAGCCCTGACAGTAGGTGAGTTGGATAACTATGTCTCCTCCTCTCCACTGAATTTTAACCTTTTGGATACCACAATAAGTCTAATGGGCCGGATTACTGTTGTGATGGGTTAATGTTAGGATAATGATAGGATAATG